ATGTATTAGGTTTGACTGGCCAATCAAAGCAACCTTACAACTCATAAAAGCATATCATTTAGTACATGTTTAATACAGTTTTGAATACTGCCTTAGGCCCCTGTTAAAAATGGTTCTTGCATGATGGTCTATTAAAACAGCTCCTGTAGTTCAGACTCACACTGTTAGGTCATAAACAACTAGACTTTGAACACTAGCATAATTAATAAGTTAAGTCATATCAAAATTACACAGATGGTTTTTGAGCGAACAGAGTAAGAGAATATGATAATTTTTCCTCTTCTGCTGAACTAGTTAAGTTTGTAAGTTAATAGTTCAAATTAATTAACTAGACCGTGAAATCGGAATAATGTAATTTTTGTGAGGTTTGTGATCCAATTAGAATATACTACATGCTTTCCAAATTTTGATGCTGTATACATGGCTGTCTAAACATGAATCATTTTGAATGTTTATTTGCATTCTAATTAGAAGCAGACAAACTAATCACACACTTTATAAATGAGATGCCCAACATGTCTATCACAAAAGAAACATTATACATGTAGGTGTTTAGAGTGAGTTGATTACAATCTAAATACAGTAAAAAAAACAAAAATGTTTACAGACTTGCCTAAAATGCTTTATTTGTTGCATAATGTAGATAGAAAGTTATTTTTTTCAAATGGTCAAGTGGGTTATGTGCTCACTTTTGGGGTGCTTTTGGGCTCTTTCCTTGTCTCAGCAATATTATGACATCTTAGAGAGTATTAATTCATATATGAGTTGCTATATAGGTTGTTTTTTTCAGACACCATACTGATCTTAATAAAGCTCACATTCTGTATATGCACTTATAACTTTTTTTTTTCTGTACTGTCTTTCCCCAATTATCTCACTTACTGAATTGCACCTGCAGGCTGTCTTGTTAAAACTGAAATGCTGTGTGAGGTCTTCTGATTGAGCGCAAATGTTTTTATCTTGACAGGAAACTATATTTAGGGTATTAAGGTGGGTCCTATCAAATTGGGTCCTATCAAATTGGGTTAATGTCATTGTGATGCAGAAATGGAAAATGGTATGGGGTACTTACCATAAAAACTCCCCTAACCAATTATTTATAAAATAATAATAATTATTATTTTTTTAATTCACTGTGCTCAAAAAAATGTTTTTACATGTATTTGTATCCTTTCAATTCACGCTCTAATCTTGTAATGCATGGAAATCATTACCATGGTACTATCAAACTCTGTCTCAAAACTTGACATTCCTTGATTCCTTACATCTCTGGTGATCCCAACCAAAAATTGCAACACATCGTACTGCCCATGATTTCACTAAAACATAAACTCCCGTTGACATTGCTTTTGTAACACTGCGATTGTCAGATTGACTTAGTATTACATTGATTGAAAAAATATGAAAAAATTGACAAAAAACATACAAAATGAAATGAATCAGAATTGTCATTTTGTTTTTGTTTATTGATCTCAATGGTGAAGGTATTTCAACATAACTTGTTTGCTAAGGGACAAAGATCAAATAGGTTTCACACTGACATGTTAAGTACTGTGCCACTTAAATGTTATGTGATCAACAGTACTGTGTAATGTGGAATGCATTCCAAATATTGCTAGCTCCTCAAAAAAACAAACTGCATTTAAAGTAATGACTTTCAAATAATAGTATTTTTTCGTTCAATGAACTTTCTCTCTCATAATGCATTGTCGAATGTTTAGTTACTTGCTTGGTAGATGCTTAAGTTGAATTTCCCCCCAAACTCTTTTAATAGTTTAAACATCACTATAATATCACTGTATGTTTATATCTATTTCTCTACCTCATAAAGATTACTTATTTGTACTCCCCGTTTCGGACAACAGGGCTTTGTAGTAGGATTATACATACTCTGGAATTGGTGTGCCTCATTTTAACGACTGTTTCTCCAAGATGGCTTGCATGATTTTGTTTAAACTTAATACAATGATTGTACATACTTGATTTTGGTTGAACATTACAGTTTTTGTGATTCAATCAAATATGTTCAGCCCATCACAGTACATAGCCAGCAATGACTGATTGCATCACAGCACTATTTAGCCGAAAGTACACACACACTCCTGAATTAATGCTAGTAATGGACTTCAGTAATAAATACAGAACAGGAACTGTTGTCAATGCTGTAGACCATAAACATTAACTATGTATGCCTGTCTACTGTTATACCACTAAGTCTTTATTATTTGCCATAACGCTTAATGCTTACATGTATTTGCCATTACAATGCGTTTAAGGAGGTTCTGGCTAAATTTAAGACCATGTGTTTTCTTCTCCATGCTTTCGTTATTATGAATTTATGGAAGGATACCAAAAATGATGTATATCAAATAGTTAGCATGTCCGCCCATCATTAGTGTTTTCAACTTCTTTGGTCAACTTCACACTCAGCAGAGCAAAAAAAAAAAGAGAGAGTACATTCTGCACACTGTATTTTGGAGGTGATGTAAAGCTGTTGGTTCTGTGTATTGTTCCTATCCTTAGTGCACGTTAAAGGTTAAACTTGAGCAGCGGTTCCCGCAGGACATTATGCTCGATATATATGTGTATTCTTGAATTGTGCCACCCTCATTTCTGAGTCTGTAATTAAAACCACCCTGTTAACCAGAAATGATGATATGAGTAGGCAATATGCTTCTTCAATTGATAAATACTTGCTAAATAAATAATGAAAAAAATAAATAACATTTTTGCATTGATTTCTATAGAAGTTATTTCTTCATTTTTCAAAATCCCATGTTATGAGAAATCTATGATAAGTTTCCGTCTATATACCGGTTTAATCGATTCTTCCATTATGTGCAGTAACATGCTCAGTAGTGAAAACTTTGAACTTAAAGATAAAAGTCAACTGTTCAATTTGATGTCAGATGTGTTCTAAGAAAACCAATAGATTATTTGATGTTTTCATTGGTTATTAATATAAGAGTCTGCCTGATGTACAATCTGTTTAGTTCAGTGTAGTTGCATGAAAACAAATTTGTTTGAAATAAACTGAACCACTGAACTTTAATAAAAATGTATGTGATTAAACAACATACTGTTTATATGGAAAGAGGAGACGACACATGAGTCATACTACAGTACTGCTATGTGGCATGCTGTGCTGTTGGAGAATGTTACGACACTGTCAGAGCTGGTGGTGTTATTATTTCATTCTCCAAAGAAAAAAAATCTACATGTACACACTGACCTTTTGGCAGGTCAGGGTCAAGAGGTGACAACTGCTATGAATTATGTTACATCATCACTTGAATCATTTTACTGGTTTCAGCAAGTTTAGAGACGAGTAATTTTAGTGCTACTGTAGATTTGTTTACATCTTTTATCAACTTTAAAAAAAAAAAGAAAAAAAAAAATGGGGAAAAATTATACCATCATTTTAGGATTAGTCACTCCAACACTTTGCCCGTAATATGAAGGTGGCAAAGTATGTGGAGTAAATGTTATCATCATCGTTGTTAACAATGGTCTCATTTTCTGTCAATAAGTGCATGTGTCAAAGTCACATCAGCATTCACTGCTCCATCAGTGATCTGAGAGTGAGTGAGTTTAATTTCAAATCAATTGTAGTATGACAATGTGCAGCACGCAGTTGGGAAACGTAGAGGCTGAGTGCGACTGGATCAATGCATCGGGGAATTATGTTCTAGGCTTTATGAGGTACAACTGAGTAAATTGAATTGTTCATTTATTTGTTCTGTATGATTATCTCTTGCAGGATGACAAAGATCTTGTGCATGAGTTTGTTAGTGCTGATGGACTTGCATGTCTCATCAAAGTGGGTGCTGAAGCTGACCAAAATTACCAAAATTACATTCTCAGAGGTAAGCAATTGATATGACCCCTTTATCATCTCACACGAAATGTACTTGTTCCCATGGAAACTGTGGAAACTGATAACCGCAGTAAACGTTTTGGGTTCTCTGGTTGGTAGGTTGGGAAGTACATGTAGGTTACTGTACTTTATTTTTTCTGTCTCAAAGAATCTGCTTAGTTTTCAGTGTTTAAGTTTTGTACCAATTATTTTGATATTGCCCTTGAAAGTTTCATATAATATAAAATATATATATTTTTTATTTACAAACACTGATTAACCATGGCTAAATTTGAAATTGTGATATCTTGGTATCCATACATGTACATGGACTAAAAAATATCTCTTGGAGAGCAGTAATCTAAGAAATCTATGAATTTGAAATGCAGCAAACAGACTCAAGAATGACACTGGTTAAGACACTCTTTCTATCATGGAATCAACACTTCAGTTACTTAACAACAAGAGAACCTCACTGATAGATGCCCCATGTTAATATCAAAATTTTAATGAAAATTAATATTTTATTTACAGAACACTATGGAAAACTTAAAGACAAACAATTTTGCTGGAAATTACTGTTAAAGCATCAGTTTTCAGTTAAATATACAATTTTTCATAAACTCCCTCAGATATACTAGTCCATGTACAGTAATTATTCAAGTATGATGAAAATTGCCAGCTTTGCCAGATGCGAAATATTTACATGCATGTTAAAGAAGCCACAATAGCTGAAATACTTGAACCATGATTGTTAATTCATTGGGTGCCCCAGCTACATGTAAAAGTAATGATCTTTCTTGGATTTGTTCCATCTACCACAATCACCTGTCAACTGTAAATTTCTTTTGTGAGATCATTCTTTTTAGATGTCTGGAATCCAAATGTTGGTGATCGTTGATTTAAATTTCTTTGCTTATGACTTTTGAATTGTGTTTCCGCAGATGAAGATTTGTCCAGACTTGGAACTTGGGCAAATTCTGACCAATCGTCAACAATTTTCATATTTAGACCATTAAATATGACATAATAGACCAAAAAGACCTAAGATTGTCATCTTTCACTTCACATTTAAGTAAACCATTTTAACAGTATTTGCTCTATTTGTAGCCCTTGCACTTGCGTAATATGGTAGACTAATTTCCATAATCAAAATGTGTTATTTACGTACATATACAATAAAACTGTTAGTTCAAATAGAGCAACTACAGTATGGCCTGAAAAGTGTTCTGTTTGTATTTATGTGAGAACTTTCTCTGTAAATGTTTTCCACAATTGTGAAAATTGTCCCACCAGATGCTACATGAACCAGGTTAAAGTTAATTCTCTTCTGTGTGACTCACTGAATATAATGCTGTTTGCTCTGATTCATACTTGTTTATGTAACCAGGGTGAAGCAGATGATGTAAAGATGTTGCTAGTCATTCTAAATATTTATAGTGTTGGAATAACCACGGCCTCAATTATTAGGGGAAATGGGGTGAAAGTGTTAGGGTTCACTTTGTACTTTAGCTTATTGTCTGTCAACCCCAAACTGCTATGCTGACCTCAAAATACCATGGCAACACATGAAGTCTGACAGCAGTACGTACTCGTCAAAATAATTCACCTGTATTAATCTACCAGTTTGATAAGGCTTTGAAAAGTTTTTGCGTTTAGTTGCTTTGACTGCAAACTACAGTATGAAGCATTAAGATGGCCTCCTCTTTACTTGCATTGTCAGCGTCAACATTCAACACTGCAACATTCATAAATAGTTCAGATATCTTTAATGGGAATATAAAATGTTTGTTGCTTTCGTCATTACTTACATTCATTTCATTTTCCATATTTGTTTAATTTATTATCATTCTTTTCATTTTCCAATG